AAATTTGATACATTCCAAAAAGTGTCTCAGGGAACTGACTAGATGGAGGCGTAATTTGTAAACTAATTGTTCATCTTTCTTAACTTTTGAACATGTTATGGGATGATAAAGTGTCACATACAATGTCCAATAGGAATGAGGGTGCCGGAATAAATGGGGATTTAGTTAAGATTTTTTGAACTGTTTAGGAAGAAAGGATGTAATTTTGTTAAAAATTTTTGAAAAACTAATGAAAGTATTTTTCTAAAATTTTCAATAATTCCTATAATTCATCAGTGAGTTTTTGGGTATAAGTTTTTAGGATGTCCGAAGAATAATTAATGTCATATCAAAACTGAATGTAACCTTATTGCTTACGCTGCATAAAAATGTTCCTTTTTTCTTACTGGTTCTTACTAATTTAAAATCTTAATACAAATAAGAAAGATAATTGATGAAAAATCATTGTATGAAGAAAAATATGAAATAATTGCTAGCGGCCCGTTTAAAGTTTATAATTTACAAAGACAGTCTGAGCGTGCGAAGTTGAATTAAGAAACCGATAGGCAAACTTACTTAAACACCAGGACGATGAGAATAAAGCACGTGTAAAAAAAAGTTCATTTACAACAAAAAGTACCAAGCTGATCTTTCTCAAAAAGTTTGATAATTTTAAATTTATTATTTTCATAGCAATGAAGTAAATTTGAAAATTATGAATGGAAAACTTGCATAATTTTATTGAATGGACACATTTTAGCAGCTTGAAATTGTTTTTGAACATCTGCTGGTGATTTAACTACTTAATTTGGATATTTTAAGAAAATCGGTTGAACAGTATGTAATGAATTTGGTGCGAAAAAAGCTATGCCTATTAATATCCACTCTCGAAGCAAGCAGCAAATGTTGGCCAACACTTCGGAAATAAGAATCTCAATGAACTAATTACAAATATCATGTTATGGTCTGAGCCTGCCAACCATCGATTCGTGTTCTTTTTTCAGGTGGTGAATTGGGTTCATTTTTGATATAAGGTTTTGGTTGCATAGCTAACCACGAGGAAGTATTGAAACCAGCGATACTAAGATGCTGTTGCTGTTCCTGGTTCAAATCACCTGAATTGGTTCGTGTACCAGTGTTTGAGGTTCGCCTCAAATCAGAAGTTATCGTGTATCCTCGAGTTACGACGGCAGTTTCAGAATGCACGAGTTGTAGCTGCGTGTCATTCTGTGTTGGCTGACTGTTGATATTGATGTGCTGTTCGCAAGAAGAAACCGGACTGCCGGCACAATTTCCACTATTATTGGCTGTTACAGCGACTACAGGTCGTGGACTGGAGGAACAATCGGTATAATTCAAGAATGAACTTGTCGAGGGGAAACCTAACGATTTGATCGGTTCCATTTGTTGCGGTCGACTCAAAGAGGAAGCGATGGCAGCGGTTGAATCTTGCGAACTATTGTAAGAAATGGCTGCTGAATGGGAGAGGAATACATTTGAGTTGAAAATTTGTTGTGCTATATTTGTGACCCCGTTGAAATCCATGCTAGACGTACTGCTAGTAACGGATGCAGTAGCTGGTGCAACACTACTTGAAGAAGTTCCATTCGGTAAATTCGGAGTTAACGAACCTGGGGAATCTTCATCTGATTCCACTCCGCCCGATTTGCTTTCCTTCCTTTGCAAAGCTTCCATGATATCGGCATTCGTTCGACTCTCATGCGGTTCATTGTATTCGGTATATTTCAGAAGAACTTTATCCATATCAGTGCTAGCATACTGGAATAGTTTATTCGTTGAATTGAAGATAATGAGAGCTATCTCACAGTCGCACAACACTGACAATTCATAGGCCTTTTTCATTAAGCCAAATTTTCTTTTGGTGAACGTTACCTGTAAGGAGACAAAATAGGAATATCTAAATAACTGAAGAACATAAAACATTCAAAAAAAACATACAACAATGTTTTACAGATCCATGCGCCTTCGAAATCTACGAAGTCTTAGTGCTTTTTCCAAACAATTTGAAAAAAAAAGCCCATAAGCAAACCTGTCGATTACGTTCATCTTGGATCCTTGTAATTTGAATCTTTTTACGCCCCATACTGACTTCAGTCAAACTTTTCAATCAGCAACTGTTTAGTGAGAATTCAAATATACTGAAAAAATTGTGATAGTCAGTAGCAAATCATTAAAAAATATCCAACAGCTGCACCGATTGCTTTGTTGTTTTATCACTTACACCTGCAAAATTTAAACAATTCAATTTAATACTAGCTTTGCTTGACTATTTTGACATCTCTTGAGTCAGAATTAATTCAGGATAATAGGAAGGCTAAATTGGTTAGAAGGAAAAAGGAAACGTTGGGATTTCATCTGCTATGATCATTTATCAAGAATCCAAGTTAACTTCATGCAAATCTTTAATGTTAGTTGTAAAGAAGATAAAAGTGTAAAGATCACTTTTAATCGAAATAAAAATGGGAAACGTGAGAAATGGAAGATTACAGTGTTTTTTTTAAGTCACATTTTTAAACCTAATTACATAGATAAGGAAAAATATCTTATGGGCAATCAATAAATCATATATTTTCGATGGTCCATAGTAATCACAAAGAATATTGTACCAAATCATCGAAGTCATAAACTTTTCAATGTTAACAAAATATAAAAAAGAGTATATGGAAGATGTTCGGTCATTTGATCGTCAAAGTCACTACGGTCATCATCCTGAACAATATAGTTGTGTCCTGATAGCATCATGCTATCAAATCATGATTCAAGGATGGGTATATTGATAAGATTAATATATTGACTTAACGAATTCATTGTTGGTAAATTATTAGCTTTACTTTAATCAGTAATGGTACAGTATCTGGTGGAGAATTTCAAGCATCTCCACATCATAACTGTACATTCACTCTCAATGTTTCAATATTTTCCAGCTTATTAAGAGTTCAAATAGCATCAAGTTCGAAAGAACCTTTCATACATTACAACAAAAGTTCCTGAGTACAACAATTGTAAAATCGTTACTGCTCATATTTACCAAACTGCTTGCGTTTTTCATTAAAGGTGCAATTAGGACTAGGCCCAATTGTCCCACGTTATCTATCTTCACTTGCGCGATCTCGATTCTCATAACAACGAGCGCAACAATGACTCTTGGATCCCATAACTAATAAGTGCTACTGAAATGCATTTCCTCTAGGCTGTTTCTTTTAAAAATCGATCATTGTGTTATCTTTACTATGAAATCTCTTAATCTTAATCCATATCACAAACTGATCGCATAAGAAGCTTAGAATGAGATATCCTAAATCAAATAGAATGATGGCATATCAGATTAGAACAGTTACGAAAACAACAAAATTTTAAATCCGTTCAATTATACAATTCCAGTGGCTTTGCTAATCTCCAACGGTTCAGCACACACTTTCAAAGTATTCCAATTCCATATTATATCCACTTCCTTTCACTATAAGATTAACTTATCTATATATAATAATGCCTATTTCTACTTTTCGCGTTCACATTTCTGAATATTAGTAGTATTAAACGAAGGCAAGATTTTTTACAACCAATAATTCTGTCATTGAACGAAAATAATCATTAGATGGTTGAATATGAACGAGTGATTGAGACTCAACTGACGCCTTCAAAGTCTTAAATGGTACTCTCTAAAGTCTTAAAAGTAAAGATGGCCAGAAAATGTAATGGATTGTTCGGGAAAAATCCAATGTTCAAGCAGTATGTTTCTTCGAAGTTAATTTTCTGATAATTTCTACTAATTTTGCTGTGACATTGAATAGAAATGATATTGATTAATCTATGCTAAAAATGATGCAGCCATTCTGAGCAAGGACATGGAAAAATGGACAGATAAATAAAGGTTATCGCTAAATAGTATGCTTAAATAAATTAGCACGATGGAGCAAAAGAAGGAGAAGAAGAAAAAGTTCTAGAAATGGTTGATTCTAATGAAATTTTCACAGCAACACAAATTGAAAATTAAATCACGACCGAATTAGTGGAAAGAAATAGCAACTAATAACAGTACTGTAACATTATAAATTGAAAATTATAGCTACAACAGTGACGTTATTACTATTGTCATTAGAAAAATGAACAAATATTTGTGGAAACAATTCAGGAAAAATAAACCAATAAAAAGTACAATACAATTTCAGTTTGTAATTGCAGATAATTTGAAAATGATAAATTGATTTTGTTTCTAAAAGGATCACCTGACTACGGCTATTCAATTGTGACAGCAATACAATGCTTCAGAAGTTTCAAATAATCATATAGATGGTTACAGATCTCACCAACGAATGACAGTTTTGATAGAGATGAGTAACAATAATATCACTGTAGTAATACTGTCACAAATATGCCAATTGATTCTAGTGCTATATGTGCTATAAAAGTGATAAAGTGCATACTTCTATATTCTTAAAACTAAATGATGAAAAAAAGATCTTCTTACCTTTTTACCAATTATTAATTCTTATTATATCAGCAAAATGAATAGGATATAAAATAAGCAACCATACATTCTTTTTTCAACAAAATGTTTCCATATCCTTTTTTGTTGAGAAATTTGTTGAGAAAATGAGCTAAATAAAAATCATTGAAGCAGTCCACGATAGCTAGAAATCATGAATCACAGAGAAATTTCACTGAAAACAACAACATTAAAAGATTAAGATTTGATAATTTAGTTTTCGACAAGATTAAAATTAATAAGCCATTAGCTGAAAAAAAAAAATATGGAACTCTCACAGAATGAGAGCACTGATGACAGATAGAGATTTGTATCTTTCAATGATTGCCACATTGTGCATATAACCATACAATGTCTTAGAAAATGACGTCAATTTCTCCAGAAAGTCAATATGCTTCGAAATTTCTTTTTTGCTTTCTCTTTTTTTTTTTTCATTTTAAAAACTGTTCCATACATGAACTCTATTAATGTATTACCGCATTCCCATATTGTCGTACCCAATTTGCACCATATCATTTTCCGGAAAACAACTTGCTTTATATATGATAAAGTAACATGTTGAATTTATTTCAAACATCACTCCTCTCTTATATGTAAAATCAATAACAGCATACCGGAACTAATTGAAATTACAAGATGTAATTTGCAGCAAAAAGTGATCAAATAAATTAATAAATACGAAAAAGTATAATCATTACTATGAATAGAGAAAATTAAATAATTGATTTTACATATAAGAGGAGTGATGTTTGAAATCGATCATACAGGTCAATAGAATCAATCAAGCAATAGTGCTATACATCTAAAACTAAACAGCTAATAGAGATGAGATCGATAAAGAATCATAATAACATAACATACCCAGTATATCGAAATACATATGTGCTTTACATGTCGATAAAATGATGATGATGATGATGATGATGATAGTAATAATGTGTGTCTGTGGTGATGATAATGATGATGATGTGTCTGTGTCTGTATATGTATGTGCTGCCCGGGCTTGTTGAAGTTGTCGTCATTGTCATCCATCATAATATCGATAATACCAGCTAAATGTATGCAACAATCTATCAGTTTTCAACGTGCCAATAAACAGTGACAGCTGAGCTCTAAAGCAAAATTAAACCTGAGATGTAATGAATGATAGGAAGGATAATAAGTTGAAGTTATAAAGGAGATGACGCAGAAATAATGGGCAATAGCAGTAAGCAGTAAGCATCATGTGATTCTCGACAACTGGATAAGACTCTCAAATGAGCCGTTCAAAAAGACTGCTAACGCTGAGAGAAGCTATGAAAAATAGGGAGAAAGAGAATGAGGGCAGATTTTTAGTGCAAGCTCAATTTCTTCCAGAAGTAAAATCCAAGCAGATAGTGCTGATAACTACTGGTGACATTTAGACACCTATGAGAAATCATTGGCTAACAGTGAAAGGGAAAGGAATATATGAATGGTTTGTTAATAGCTTCTCTTTTTTTTTTTATTTTTTAGAATTTCAAACGGCTTCTTATGCTCAATGGATAGGATAAATGACCACATCAATGATAACAAAATACATACATGGTTATTAAATTACAATTAACAATGACAATAAGTTATGTAAAGAGTTCCGATGAGTTAATTGAAGAAAAAGCTGACCATCATAATGGTTAAGTCAATTCTTTCCACTGTTTAAAAGTAACATACATCGATCAACATTTCCAAATAATAAGTCAAAGCACTGCCTTTCTTTCGACTTCAGCAGTAATCCGAGCATACACATGCATGCATATATATATATATATATATAAATATTTGTTTACATATGCACACACATACAAATACACATAATACACATCCATAGATACACATTACCATATCGAGGTTAAGAATAGCACCATGCGTTCGCATACAGCCTACGCACGTGATTCACACACAGCAGCAGACATACACACATTGACAAAAGGCCTTAGCTTAGCTTTATTAGTTCCTTCATTGCCCATAAAGGCCCGTCCAATACTTCTAATATTATATCGTGAGGTCTGCCTCCTTCCCTCATTTGGATTAGGTAAATGGTTATCGTATTAATGAAATGATCAGTTTTGTTTGTGAAGACGAAATCTATTAAAGAAATGAAGTTAAATGAAATTTTTAGCCAGTATGTAATTTTTTAGAATCTGCTAATTTTTCCATTTTTATTAATTATTAATTTCATCATTCCCAATAGTTGACATTATCTCTTCCAAAGATCACAGTTTCAAAAATAAAAGCAAATAATCCTGTCGGTTTCTTCAATGAAAAAAAAAAAGTTAGCAACAAGATTTAATGAAATTTATGGACTTTCGTGATTAAAAATCGTATTGCATTACACAAAACAGAACATACGCCATACCAAACAATATTTCATTAAAATCGATAGAAATAATTCGTGATGATGGCGTTGTTCTATTAACGCCAAATAGGTAAAGTGAGAAAGTCTTGTTGCCTATCTGATGGGCTTACGCACAAATAAAAGTTTGGTTTGCCGTAATGTTGAGAAACTAATTACCTTTCATCCATGCAAGCAACAAAGCTAAAAAAAGATTATCCACATAGTTATTAATAAACAACTGCCTTTCAGAGAACGAATTTCTTTCATCATTACTACTACTATGGTAAGGAAACACGTGAATTAGTTAAACAAAAAACAAATTAAGATCGTTTAAGAAGGCGACAGGCGGTAGGATTGATAACCTGTGGAATGTGTGGACGGAGGAAGTTGAGAAGGAAGGATTGAAAAGCAGAAGGCAGGAGTAGCAAGCATCGCCAATATCACGGCGGGCAACGAATTGATGACGTCGTTCGAACACTACTATCGTCACGGACGGCACACGGCACCAATCACACACATACATCACGACACTAACATACATATTCACTGTTAGTGAAACATACATGACAGATAAAGCGCGTACACTAAAGTGTCGGTGACGTGACAATTAAACTTGCTACAGAAATTTCAACAGAAATTAGCCGAAAAGTAAGCTTAAATGATAAAACTATTTTGTCATTGAATAGGGTTGTTTACACTCTAACACTCAGCTCTCCTAAGCATTTCTCTCTATCTCATTTTTGATCTGTTTATTTTTATGTTTGTATGCCGTGCTAATAGCGTACGTAAGCGATCAATTGGAAGGAGTTTAATTCCTTTTCCCTGTTCTTCCTTTCCTCCGGCATTTTTTTCTCACTATTTTAGATTTTTACGAAGCAAACATTATATCAATTAACTGATATAACCGATAATGAATAAATTCTCAAATAAAGTAGATAGGAGGAGGTGACTACGATCTTTTGGAAAATTCATGGGGGTATATTAGTGTTTTTTTGATCCTCGAAATAAGTGATATTCCTATTCGCAATAAAATGTGTTAAAAACTTTCTGTCATTTAATAAAAGCTTTTAATTTACAATGCATTGGTCAGAGATTATATGGATGTTCCTATTTTTGAAGCAAAATATACAATGAATCTAAATCATTTGAAAAATTAATGAAATTCCTCTATCTGATTTATTGAAAGGATAAGGTCGCATTGCTTATGTAAAAGAGAAATGAGCTCCTAAACGGAAAGAAGAGGAATTTAACCCTTAAAATTCATAAAGGAAGCTTAACAAATCAACAGATAAATACGAAACAAACAATTCCTATCACTGCAAAATTAGGCCATCATTCGTATACTTATTTTTTAAAATTTCCTTGGCAGCTTTGTATCCAACACATTTATTCATTTCTTTTCGAAACAAGTGCCAAACTATTAAACAACTTTTGTAATTAATGCAGAATTGTAATTCATTTTAAATGCAAATTCATTCATTGGATAAACTGAGAAGAGAAGGATTACATGCCTCAAAGCAAAGTTTTTTTTGAATTTGTTCAAGAAGAAGCAGTTGTTATTTTGCAACAGAAATTTTACATCGCATGAACAATGATCGTTGCAAAAATGGATTGAAATTCCATTTTAACCTTATAATTCATGTATAACTTTAGCTTAAAAGTTTTCATGCTAAAAATTTAAAACATATTTCTTAAAAAACTAACATATGATCCTTTTAACTGAAATCACGGGATTATAATTTCGAAAACTTCAATCGATATTTAAAAGAAATTTTAGAAAGAATTGGAGTAAATATACAATTTCAAAAAGGGCATAGTTCTTTTGGTAAATAAATAATTAAATTGTAGCAGTCTCGAAACGCAATCATCTCTACGCTAAAGTAAACAGTAATAAGGAACTACATCAGTATTCTTTGCATTTCAAAAAAATATATATCATCACTTTTGCTTCTTCCGTATTTTTATTAGTAACAAGGTATTGCATGTACTATTTTGAATCCTAGAAAATCGCATCAATTCCTTGTAAACATTGAAAATAATTAAGGATAAGAGGTGATAATGAATGTAATAAATGGGCAGATAACTTTCATCCGTTCAATTACCTTCAAATGAACAGTGAGCTCTGTTTCGCATATGCAAAATCTAACTCGATCATTGATTATAAAGATAGTTTTGCTCGAATACATACATAACGAATAGCGGGCATTCAATTGGAGCAACAACCCGATTGTCTCTACTTCTCTGAAATATCAGTGACGCGCATTAGCACTCATTTGCGCTTTCGCTCAACAAATAGAAAAAACTGAACATTTAAGGAAACTTTTCTCTGGACAGATAACAATTTAGCCCCTTTCTCATTAAAAAAAATCTTCTAATTTTAATATATAAAATTTTTGCATACACATTCACATACAGACGACAGACAAATATTTACACACACACATGCATAAATGTGATTGCAAAAAAACAGTTTCAGTTTCTTTGAACGAAGGAGGAAGGAAATGAATGCCTTCAGCTTAAATTCAATAGTTGAGAATGACAAAAATGTAAATGTAACTTCCAATATAAGTTCAATTATATCAACTATAAGTTATTTCACACTTTCAAAAAAATATATATCAAGCAACCAAGCCTTAACATATTCATGACTCTATTATGTGTTTTTCCAATGATTTGTATTCAGTGATATAAAAATCCCCCTAATTGAAGCCAGAGGTCATTTAGAAAAAATTTCAAAACTGGAAAGCAATGATAGCCATTAGTTTTATACTAGTGATGTATATGAATGGAAAAGCGTTGCCATGGTCTTTCGAATTAAGAGCAACTGAGAGAGTTTGAAGCGGCTGTTGTGTATGATGCAAAGATCCGAGAGACTCAATAGATGAGGGTGAGGAAGCTGCTGCAAAAGAAGGTAAGAAAAAAGATTTTAGCGGTAAGCTTACTAACATAAAAGTTATTCATTTCTACATAACACTATCTCTGATACGATTAGTCTCTCTTATCATACTTCCCCAATAACAAACGCATTTTCAGAGTACATTTAACCTAAATGGAAATAATGGCAATCAAAGGAGTCACTAAAGAGTTAACATTGTTAACAAGATTAAAGTTAAAGTGAAACATTCTCGAAGTAATCAATAAATCACTCGCTCACATTCATCTTCCAATACATTTTTCACACGTGTGGATGAGCATTTTCGTAGCGCCACTTCAGTTGGATGGTTCCGCCAGGAGGAAAGTTTAAAATTTAAATGATTGGAAACGGCTCTTTGATGTATGACAGGGTGGATGTATCTCTCATGGCGGATATTCTGCTCTTTGCATTACGTTGAACTTTTTTTTCATCGTTTTATCTCACAACAATTGTTATTAAACTGTCAGTTTATGTGGTTTGTGTGTTCTGTACATGGAATTTTCTGAAACCGAAAGCTGGTGTCAGATAATTTCATTATCGATTTTCTCATAAATTAGTATTTTTTGTCTCGATTATTCGTCAGTTCACTTTCCTAAAGCTGTTTTATTCTTTCTGCAAAGGAAACAATAATTGCAAATGGATGTGAATGGAGATCATAAAGAAAATAAGGAAACTGAGGTAAAGAATCATTTAACGGAACGATGTTCTGACAGAAAAGTACAACGATACAATGATGAAGTAATCGCCGATGAAGTTAGCGATTTTGTTCGCGAAGTGGTCGATGCTGTCGCCTACACCGTAAGTATAGACAAAATAATTCATATATTTTGTAAAAATTTAGAAAATTAAACGCCATATCGTGAAGGGTGCCCCTGTTGTTTTACTGAAGCAGCCTCAGGCAACTCAATATAGTTGTCTGAGATGAGTTATTTTAATATTATCTAATCATTTCTTTAATCTAGTCACTAATTATTTTATTGCTAATCGATAATTGAGCTTTCGGAAAATTCTATTATGCTTCCTCATAACTTGTTCGTGCTATAAGAATAACCGAATTAATATGAAAATAGGAAGTGTTTTGTAATATTTCGGAGATATGTAATATCATTTCATAAGAGTGAAGATTTCAGATCGATCGTCTGAAAACTTCGTCTAGACGTGGGAAACATGCTCCTGATGAGGTATAAATTTTCAGAATTTCTCAAGGAATTTAAAAATCATAGCGGAATATGTGAACTTCAGCAGATGTTATGAAAATCTCTTTCAAAACTTTTTAGTTTGATTTCGTAAGTGATTTTAAAAATGTAACAGTAATTTGTCTAAAGAATAAAGTCTTTGCATCTTCCGCTGAAATTGTTTATATGCTTTAGGTAATTGAAATAAGTGATACAGACTCTATTACTGGAAATCCTCACAAAAAAAAGGTACATGGACCTATACGCCGATATCGAAAATTAACAGTAAAGCAGTTGGCTGAACAAGAAAAAAGGATGAGAGAACGAAGAAGAATTGCTGCAAAGAAGATGGTAAAGTTGTTATGAACTCTGCGGATGGACGCTTAAAATTCCTAAAATCGAAATAAAAATACATTTTTTGGAAGTTTTTTCATAAATTCCAGCCTTTGAGTGGAGATTATCAGCTGCAGGTGTTTATCTATTTTATGCTTGTGCTTTCTCTTTTTAAAGTAGATTTGTGTTGGAAGTTAACTTTTACCTTGAATCTTAATCAGAAAATAATTCATTGGACTCTGATATCTTTTTTATGCTTAGAATTATTTATAACTACTGTGTAACATTTTTAACTGCTGAACTCTTTCAGAAAAATTGCGAAGCTGCTGTAGAAGGGAAAAAGCTGAAGAAAGAAGAAGCGCAAAAGTATCATTTTCTCGTTAATTTTTTCGATTTTTCTATAGCTACTTAGTATTATCAGTCTAAACTTTCATTCAGGGAAAGAACCTTGATGACTACACATTCTCTAAAGAAGCTGGGCGATACAAATAAAATTTAATTGCAGAGAAAGAGAGAGGCGAAAAAAAGAACGAGAAGAATTGAGGGAAAAGAAGCGGAAGGAGAACCTGCAGAGGAAAGAGCGAAAGAAAAAAGAGGAAGAAGAAAAAAAACAGCGAAAAAGAGTGGAAGAGGAAGTCAGGAAACAAAAGAAGGAAAAAGAAGAACAAGAGCGTGAAAAAAAGCGAAGGTACGAAGAAGAAAGACGTGAAATGAAGAGGAGAAAAGAGGAGGTCGATTGAAGTAATTTTGTATAAAAAAGCTGAAATATATATATGTGTATATAAAACTCGTTTTCTTGTTGCAGGTGATAGAACTTAAAAAGAAGCGCCAATCAGATCGTTTTCTCTCGTTCTTTGATAAGAGGAGAGAGACAAGAAGAGAATCTGAAGCAGTGCAAACGTCATCGGTGCTTAATGTCTTACCGTTTTTCTGCAAACAAGGAGTGTCACTTGCACCAATATTTCGACGCAAACCGTTATCGAAAGAAGTTCATGATAGTTTGCTATTGGAAGTGCAGCCAATCGTGTGTATTAACATGTTCATCGTTTAATTCTGTGGTTATTTTGTAGCAAAACTTTAATATTTACTTTCCGATATATACGGCTCACTTCCTTTTTATAGTTGACGCTGACATTGTTACTGATTGATCAATTACAGGAAAGGCTATATTTGTCGACTGTTAAACCTCGTACAGTTGAGAAAATGTTAGTTTTCTTGAGTTTTTATTGCTCTTTATTGTTTTTCTTCAAGATTAGGTCTTACTCCTTTTTATTGTAATATAACTCATGATAGAAGACTTAAAAGTTTTTAAGCGATAAATCTGCCATAAATGTGCCAAACAGCACTTAGTATTATTCGGTTGGTTAGGATGTAATACGCTGTTTAAAGTCGTGTTTTGACATTTATATAAAGTAAGGGTATCAGCAATTTTTATAGTTCTATTCTTCTTTCAAAATATAAAGAGTCCTATTCTTCTTTTATAGTCCTATTCTTCTTCAATATCATATGTTGGTATATTTTTTTAGAAAACTAAATCGAGCCAAACTATTTCAATTTCATGATAACTGGAGGCCTCCTTATTACGGAACATGGAGGAAACGAAGCGCTGTTATAACAGGCAGGAAACCTTTCGCCAAAGACATAGAGGTATCTGGATCGATTCAACATTGGTTTCATAATTTCCGAATTTTTCATTTTAAATTGTCAAGTATTTGTAGGCAAAAATCTCACATCAATCTTGTTTTGTAGATATTAGACTATGAAGTGGATTCAGACGAGGAGTGGGAAATTCCAGAAGGTGATGATTGTGACGAAAGCACAATGAGTGAAGAAGAGGAGGTTGTGTTTTCAGGTCTAGATAATTGTTAGTTAATGAATGTTTTGCAAAACTTACATAAAAATCTTTGTGGTTGTAAATGAAATTATATGTCTCAGGAACCTAGATTTATATGTCACTGTAAGATATGGAGGAAGTTTATGTTTATTATGATCTACAATGCTGATATTTTTTGAAGTACAACACTTTTTACTTTTTGATTTATGAGATGCCCACACATTGATGCTTTCTGCTACTCTGACAAAGCCGTAACAGTTTATTTGAAGTCTTCGTTGAATTGGAATAAAATTCCTGCTAGCAATAAATTTCTATTAAATTCTGAGATCCCTAATATTTCAGCTTTTTAGGATTCTGATCAATCGACCGGTAGTGACGGTTTTATTGTGCAGCATGGATATCTGTCAGAAGGTGAGGGTGAAGATGAACAAGATCGTCTGGAACGTCGTGAAGACTCTAATAAACGTGCAGAACGTCTCAGAGCTGTGGTAAATTATTTGAATTAGGATTTTTGAGTGGTTGATGCAGAGTTATTCTTGCTATTTTTGTCATTAACTTTAGTGATTGCAATTTTACAAAATTCCTGATTTTAAGTTTTATGTTTTGAACCATCTTAATCTTTTTTAACTATGGATTGCAAATAATAGATGCATTAATAATTGATGCCGTGATATATTTTATGAGTGAACATTGGAAGGAAAAAGAACTAACCATGGGTAGGTCTAAGTTATTTATAACTAAATTTGAACTGGTCTAAGTTTTCATCGCCTTAGTCTTTTTTATTATTGTTTTTATCGTTATCGGTGTCTGTATAGGTATCGAAAGATGCGTGATTATTACCAAATTTTGCTTTGCTACGGCAATCTGCGGTATGGATTTCAAAAATGATAGTTCGGTTTTTGAAATCCGTTTCAAATGAACCATGAACTTATTACGGATATCTTAGCGGAGAAATAATAAAATTACTCAAGCAACCTCTGTGTTGCGAATTCAAATTTCATCAGTTTTTCAGTAAGAATTCAGCTCTCATCTCCTTGAAGACAATCATAAATTTCAAATCCCAACTTGATACAAACCTAAACTAGAAGCCAGAAATTAGCTTAAAGTTTGCGCCTCAACCATTTCAGTCATTTCAGGCAAATGAATGGAAGCGTAGTCTTGAACAAAAATCGAAGAAATTTAACAAACCCTTAATTCCAATTTTATGGGGTCCGCACTTTAAACTACCGACAAAACGTGTCCCTAGGGATGTAGAGGAACCCGTGTTTTTCGAATATTCGGATGACGATGATGATATTGAAGATTATTATGATAATAACGATGGTGATGGCAGTGGCAGCAGTGATAGTTGTCATGATGACATCTCTATGGAAAATTAAGAATCAATCGTTCTTAGTAGGGACGCGGAATGTTTTGAATATTCGTATAAGGACATCTTAGCAAATCAGTTTTTATCTTCAGCGTGTAGAACGCCTTATGTATATAAATAAATTTGCACATAGATCAGAAATTTTTTGGTTTTTTTTTTCAAATGAATGGTCATACAGCTTTAAGGAATGCAGGAATGTTTCGACTAAAAAATCCTTTCTTTTTGTCTTGCAAACCTTTATTTCTTTTTTATTTTTCTGGTTTATCATAAATAAGCATGGAGACGGTATTTTTCTTGAAGAGTTATGGAAAATACACGCTCAGTGATATGTTTTATTTTAAGACATGAACTCCTTCTAGGATAGGATCCACTTTCAATTCGTAATACAGATATCGTTCCCCAGAATTTAAGACTAAATTTAATTATTAAACTTTACATTATATTGTTCGTTGAAATTCTATCATTTTTTAAATTGTCACTTATATATTTTGATAGTTTGTGCCTACCAGTTGTTGGTTCTTTTGGTCCCGAGTGCATTTTAGTAAAATTCTACAATGCTTGAGATTATCCATACATGGTAATTAAGCAACCTTGAAGCCAGCCGCAATTGGACTATTTTGATTCAAACAATATGCTTTCTCCAAAAGAGGCATTTTCATTATCTCACCGTTAACTTTTACATTCACATTTTTGTACACTGTGAATAAAAAATGACCATGTGATATCAATATGCTAAGTTTTCGGTTTGGTGAGTTAGGTGCTCAGCCGAATTTAGTTTTTCTAAACATCGAAGCGTTAGACACGTTTCCCTCCGGTTTTTTTCACGTTCACTCTAAAACGGATATGGTGCAAATAGTGGATACATCAGATAGTAAGAGGAAACAATGAGAGGATCAGTGATAACGAAGATGTTAATTGATCCAAATGAAAATATGCCAAATATTAAGTATGGAACATTTCACTGTCATAGTGAGTGTTGGATTTGAATCATTTGTCAATTCCGAAGCCTAACTTCGTAAGGCATATGCATGCATATATATGATGTATGCTTGGATGGTAAGGACAAACAGATGCAGAGGAGTGACATGAGAAGATAGGTCATCGTGGAACAGTTGCTTTTGGAACTGCACTAAAGAAAAAAAGATTAGTGGTACTGCTATTTGCTGCTGTCAGGATGTGAAAATGCTTTCTCTCACGATCGATAAGATAAGCTCAATGATTCGCAGCCGTTATTAGCGCCAGCAGCAGCAACAGCAGCAGCAACAGCAGCAATAGTAATAACAGCATCAGTGCCACTATTGCTTGGAATGTTGAATGGCCTCCAAACTGCGACAGCATTCTCTCTCAAGTGTAAGGAAACTGCAAGAGGTACCACTCGTCCTTCTCATTTTCTCATTATTTATCACTGTAATGATAATTAACACTAACAGTGGAGTAATGATGTGAAGAGATAAATAACTGAAAGAAAGTCACAATAGGATGAATCATTCATTACTGATTAAAGATAAGAATGAATTAGTGTGATCAATATGTGATTAGCTAAAGAATTTATTATTTAATGTTTAAGCAACATGTATCGTCATATATTGATAGGAATGAAAATGATCTATTGTATAGTATAATTAATTCATTTTATTTAAGCTGGTACATGATTCTAATGTACAACTGGCGCAATTTCGAAATGTCGTTCAATGTATTGGAACAGGGCAGGATGGAATGCAACTTCGTAATGATGTAGATTCATTTGGTCGAGCGTGTATTAGAGCCTGTGAAGCAGCCAAGAGTTGCATTCTGCCTCAGTTGCGTCATGAAGGTAAGTGCAATTTAAAAGGCTTAGATTTATCACCTATTTAAAAAATCCGAGCTATTTATATTATTATTATTAAAGGTTTTCACTGAATGTCTCTAATTATTACCTTTAATTTCACTCTATTACAATCTCAGATAGATTATATAGCTTGTCTCATATTAAAGGCCTTTTTTTTATCATTGAAAATATTGATTTCTGTTCAGTAGACGAATCATCAGAATTAAAAAAATGACATCATTTTAAGTTATTTGATAAGACTTTACGTAGTATTACGGTACAGATGAATGCTCAGAGTTGTGTTAATTCAGATGATGTATTCAAGTTTCTTAATTAAGTTTGACATTGATTTAATTTCAAAAGGCTATCAATTGATCAATATTTTGTCCAAAGTATAGTTCAGGTGTTGAATTTACGCGTCATGCATCACAGTTTATTGGGTGTGTAAATGCATGTGTGGTTGAAATGCGACGTTGCGCAGCGCTTGAGCGTACGTTCCCAAACGGTGAGCCATGTATCACCCAGCAACAAATCGAACATATGGAAGAAATGTTAGAAACGTTAGAAAATTTGATCACTGTACACTATTCAACCAGTGAATCATCACCTGCCGAACGTGTCACGCCAAGAAGGCGACGTGCTACGAATTGTCGACTCGCCTGTGTATGCTCAAAATTGAAAACCAGCTATGCATAGTAATCGTTTTTCTCTGTATTTGTAATTTATTTCACATTGAGAGACATAAAATTTGTTGAATAATTTGAATTTACCACATTGATTTAGATGAATAGATTCGGTTTACCACACACTTTTCAATTTTAAAAATTAAAGATGAAAAATGGAATAAAGTTTCAAAGGTATAATTATTTTTACAATACTAGAAAGGTCGATAAAGCGACGAGGGAGGAATGAGATTATTGTCAGGAATGATGTTATATAAATTAAGAAGCTATCGGTGAATTAGGAAGAAAGGCTTATCATCTTTATACTGAATGCTACATGATTCTGTATATTTCAGTTTAAAATATGGTTCATTATAAAATATCATTAATTTTTAATGATTGCCACTGGTGGATAACACGTTGTTCACTTTATGTTTGTTAAATTATGTAATACTGATTAGTTTACTTATGCATTTGTATATTTATGTCATCCAATTCCGCTGCCATTTCTGTTCATTTATCTATAATTTTGCGGCGTTTTCAAACCTTTGTTCAAAAATCTAGGAAGGAAGAATACAAGATGTAAATATGCACTCTAAGCGCTTATCTCATGTTATTTGAGGAGAATGTCGATTTGCTTGATTACATCATTAAGAAAACTGAAAGTCTTTGCATTCCTAAATTTTAATCAAGAATTTTTCTATTCAAAAACGTTTAGGATTGGAACGTCATAAAGATTCTCTTCAAATTCATGCAAAATAATACGCTTAACACAGTCATCTTACTTGATTTAAATTTAAGATATAGGATTAGTTGTGGGAAATATATTTGCTGTATTTGATATTGACGTTGTAAGATGTCTTCACTTTCATACATGGTAATTAAATTCCAATTTTCATTATTCACCAGCAATACAGTTGTATAGCAAAATAAATCTGTCAAACCTGTCAAACCAGCAATGATTTTTAGCAACTGCAAAGAAAAGGGGTCAGTTAACGGAAAAAGTTAGCAAGCAAAATAATGGTCCGAATTTTCAAGTGCGGTATGTGAGAGGGGGATAGTTTTAGTGGTGCAGTGGAAGGAAAGAAAATAGAAATATCTTACAATTTTGGAATTGATCTGTCATCTTTTGTCACCCTCTAGTAATCATAAGAATGAGGTGAACTGAATTGATATCTTAAATGGATAAAGTAAAATTTTATTAACTTGTAAGGTTTACCGGAATGCCTCCGGGTGGAGAGCTCGGATTTGCTGTTGTTGAAAACGTATAAACAACAAAATCACAAGTCTTCCACCTGGTCAGCTTTTGATTTTCCGTTAGGACGCTGATCCGACTTGCGTTTCATAGGAGGGAAGGAGAGCCGAACGAAGCGGCGAAACTGAAAAGACCAAGAACAGGTCGCAGTGTTAGCCTTTCATTCTCCTTTCCTACTTCGATCGGCAAATCAAATCTTATTCCTCCTGCAACAAATATTTATTTAGAAATGGTTACCACACAGTAAACATCAGAATTTATGCAACTCTCGAAAGTGGAAATTATTTCTGTATGATTTCTTCATAAAAGGAATAAATTCCTCTTTTTCCTTCACTCTTTTATTGAATGAATTTTGAATTGTTAGTTGAGCTGTAAAGTTAAGGTTGAATGTATTTTATAACATTTGCGACCAATAATTTTTTCTTTTTACTGAAAATGCCCAAACTTCTTTGAAACTGATTTAGGAAATTAGATTTAATTAATTTTGGAAATTTCTCATATAAAATTATTTAAGAAAAAATTTGAAAATTTGGTATGGCGTTGAATCATTTCTACAAAGTTTATTGATACAATTTCATTTTACAGATCAAAATTGGTAGTGAAATTATATTAGATCAAATTTGGACAAGCTGTCCACTCATTTTGATTATTTAATTTGTTCAGCACAATTTTAAAGCTGTGTAAAAGTTTAACTAATTTAATTAGCTGAATTTCAGTTATGTAGAGGTTTACCACTCAAAATACAATTAATTTGCTGCTACCAACTGAACTGGCTATTAACGTCGAAACAATTGGTACATAAAATGAATTGATGTTATTAATTATCTTTTATGTCTTAAATTTTTTTTTAATTTCAAGGTACACAGGAAAAAGTAATCTGAAATTTTTTTAAAGCTTCCTTTTTGATTTTGTAATGTGGGTATATCAGTTTTCCGGAATAAACCAATGATGTCAACGATCAAAGCATACATCTATCATGTTCCGTAAACATTTCTGATAGATGAACAAATGTAATGAACATTCATGTTTGTGATGAACTATTATTTGAAACTTTATTGAACCTTCATCATTATCCCTTCGAACTTACCTTCCTTGCAAAAATATTTAATGATTAACATATCAAATAAATAATCTACAAAAAGTTCAGGAAATTTGGGTAGTGTGATGTAAGCTCAGAGAGTTAATTCTTTGCATAATAGAATATGTAAATTTAAAAAAGTTGAATTTGTTCTTTCTTTATTTATCAAACTAACCGTACACAAAAAAAAGTCAGTTGTCGGTGAATTTATCTAAAATATTTGGGAAATTTATTCTTTCTCTTAATGCAGGTATCAATTTTTAGCTATTCTTATTAAAATGTTAACGGTCATCAATCAGGTCATCTTATTATTTAAATTAATTGTTTTTATCAGTTAGTTTTTGTTGCTATCAAAGTTACTGATGATATGTGACTTGAGGAGCATCATTTTTGCATTTGCTCGTTTATTTATTTTTTCTTCTTTAAAAAAAAAATTTTTCAAACATTATGAAAATTTTGGAAACCAACGACAAAGAAAAATAATTCACTTGATTTTTTCTTGTCACCATTATAATATACTCAATAAAACATTCATTATAATGAAAAAATGTTTCAGAATCCATGTTTCATAACATCCGCATGATATAAACATGCGCATCAGGGAGATAATAATACAGGTGCGCATGAGGAGATTACGAGATGATGATACATATTTACGTTTTATGGAAAATGATGATATACATTCATGATTCATCGTATAAAATATCTTAATTTCATAGAGTTTAAAAAGGGGAAATATGGATGAGATCAGATCTAGAAAAGGTAAAATTGTTGGTGTGTGCAGGCATAAGAGAGGTAACATGGTGTAAGATGGATAATGAACAGCGCAAGTTCGATAAAGCAATGCTATGAAATTCAAATGACGGAAATGGAAAGATAGATATAATTCAGATATTTGGAGTTAGAAAACAGTGACTTGCTTCGTTAATCATCATCACACACCGCAACAGTTGAGCGTTACCAAGGAAACAATCGATTTAATTAAATTTTACTTACAAATAGTGCATTTGATAAAGCCTCCTATAATCCTCATCCATTTCGACCACCACAAGCATCACCCATTTGCTGAGACCAAATTCCCGTACATACAAATAACACCTCCCGCAATAAAAAATGAATGAAATTTTTACATTTCGAAGACAAATTTTTGGACAGTCTTTTACCTTACATGATAAATGATTGCAGGAGGGAGGAGAATGCTAGGAATATGTCATAGTAGTTAAACTACAAATTTCAATCCTCGAGGTTCTATCAGCTTAACTATTTTGATTTCTTTGTCAGTGCTGCAATAGTGTACTATACGGAAGCTCTAAAACACTATTGAAACTTTGTCAGAATGTTATTAGTCTTGTTTAGATGTGAATTGCATAGAATACGGTAAAGCAGTTTTATCCAAATATAAATCATGATAATGATTTCTTTTCCTTTGAAAAAACATCAGTTTCTTTCATATGAACAGAGCAAAACAATGACGATAATAACTGATAAAAATATGAAATTTAACACATAATAAAGAAAAATACGAAACAAAAAAAGCAACGACAACTTCTAAAAATTCATTTCCCTTCTCAATTTCATTTAACCTGCGACTTGGTTAGATGATTAAAAAGTAGGGCTTGGAAAACCTTTTCGTTTTAATAACAAATTAAGGATGTATTGAAAACTGGAACCCTAAAATTTCAAATCTTACACCGTTCCAATCGAAATTAACTTATTTTTCAAGTGTATAACAATAACAACTCAAATGAGAAATCCTAGCCCTACTATTAAACTCTACAAGACGAACTACCCGAATTGCTAAAAAAGCAGTATTAAAAAAATTATAGGACATGAAAACATCATTACGTGCGACAAATGCGAACAACATAAAAGAATCTTTTGGAATGAAATCACATAAACATAATAAACCACATTATAAACAATCTTCCAAGTGAGAAAAGGAAGCGCAAATGTCATACGTAACCATCAAAGCAAATACGATAATATAACACACTGTAGCAAAATACTGTCAATGTATATCGACAACCATTTAATTTGCGATACAACAGCCTATCGGATATGGATCCTTTTGCTTAAAAGCGATGCATTCAAGCGAAGGATGCAACTTATAGGATACCTTACAACATTTCGAGTCAAAGAACAAAAATGTTTGATTCCATAATAAACATACAATAGCTGTTACAAACAAACGGAAGGCAGACCTAATGCATTAAAGAAATAAAAATCTTCCTTGAAGTTCCTTCTTCAGTCAATGTTCTACTTTTAAATCGTAAATTTTACTGCATGAAGAAAGTACATATAAAAGGGGAGGAAATGACAGATTAAGGACAGAATAAAGGAAATGGAGCAGATAACAGCTTTATCAACGAAGCTTGCATGAAAAGGACCTCAAAACATAAATACCCCAACAAATGCTAGAAAATATCTTTGATAAGCATCCCCTATTTTCTTTATATTAATTAACTAACTGAATGTTACTTTGAGCAGTCGTTCCCTTGAAATAAAAAAGGTTTAAAGCATTCGCTTAAGATGTGAGCACGATATAACGAGACCGCGTAAAAAGCAGACATTTTCTGAAAAAGCTATTGCAGTAACTCAGGACAAAAATGAAGAGCAAGTATATTAATAACAATAAGGAAAATATAAGTAATATACGAGATGTAAATCAAGTAAAAGAATTACTTTTAATCCAAATTTTAAA